GATCATTCGATTTCATCCTGGACACTACAGAAAATGGGCTAAAAGTGTTAAAAACCGGAATTCTCCTTTAAGATGAGATGCTTACATCAGACCAGTTAAAATATTTAAATCTGAAAAAGCAAATTTTCTCATCTATTGATCAGATAAGATCGGTGAATAAGTTGAGGTCAATCACCTGGGCCACATCAATATGTGACAGAAGAAAGCTGGAATTTAACCGAGAATATTCAGATTACAGGAACACACAGATGCCTATGACAATTTAAACATCTGTGAATTGTTCCTGGGCTACAAACCCCACATTAAGAAATATATAAAATCTGTCATTACATTTTTAATTACTTTTAAATGTTTCAACAAATTTCAAAAGGGAAACTATTGATGAGGGATGTTGAATAATTTATTTATGGCTTAGCCTCTCAATGTCAGAAAAGATATGTTAGTACACCTGTATGAATTATATTTTCATTATTAACATAAAAATATATATATTTTTTCTGTTTTCTTAGGTTTGACAACAGGCAGATTAACAGCAAAGAGGATTCAAGACTGACAACCAAGATGTGCTTAATAACTCTCCTCATTGTTGCTCTTATAATACCATTGTTAATCTGGCAAAATGTCATCACTGTGACAGACTTAGTCACATCAGGAAAGAAAGTTTCAGATGTAGTCATCCCAGCATTAGATGATTCTAGGATATCAGGGGCCTTAACACTGACAGTCACAGCCATTTTCATTCTAACAAACTCTCTAACAACGACTCTCTTTGTTGCTGTTGCAGCTGCACTTTGGTTGCATTGGTTCAACATTGTCCCATTAAGAGTTTTGATTGCTTCAGGCTCAGACTTTTACCATAAAGTTGTCATGGGATATAATCAGACCTGCACTGATTCAAAGCCAGCAGCTCAACGATTGGCTGATGTTGTTAAAGAAAAAAGCATTCTGCTGCCATCACAGATTGGCTGTCCCCCACTTTACAAAATCCCACTGGAAGAAAAACAAATGGAAATTGAAGGTTGCAAAAGTTTCAGTTTTGGAAAGAAGTCCAGCAATTGTAACCGAAACATTATGGTTGTTGGAGCCGCAGGTGCTGGAAAGTCTACCGTCATCAATGCAATGATAAACTATGTTCTGGGTGTTAGATGGGAAGACTCGTTTCGGCTTAAGTTAGTGGACGAAGGTCGGCCAAAGTCACAACTTCAAAGTCAGACTTCAGAAATCACAGTGTACAAACTTTACCATCAGGAGGGTTTTAGAGTGAATTACTCACTCACTATTGTTGACACTCCAGGCTTTGGAGGCACTGGAGGCGTAGACAGAGACAAGGAGGTAACAGAGCAGCTGCGTAACCTCTTCTCTAATGAGAAAGGTGTTGGTGAAATTGATGCTGTCTGTTTTGTAGTTCAGGCTGCTTTAACTGAACTGACATCAACTCAAAGATACGTGTTTGATTCAGCCCTCTCAGTCTTTGGAAAAGATGTGGCAGAAAACATCAGGATTCTGGTGACATTCGCAGACGAGCAGCAGCAACCCGTTCTAGATGCCATCAAACAGTCCGGTGTCCCATGTCCTAAAACCAAAGATGGATTACCCGTTCACTTCAAATTTGATAACTCAGTTCTGTTTGCTGTGAACAAATCCTCAGTGGTAAGACGTATGATGGGACTGAATGAAGACAGAACCTTTGAGTTTTGGAACATGGGAACAAAGAGTATGGCCAGTTTCTTTGAAAGTATACGTCACATCAGAACCATAAGATTGACAATGACTAATGAGGTTCTGGAAGAAAGAAAGCATTTGGAAGATATAGTTGAGGATCTGCAGTACCAGGTTAAACTTGGCTTAGCCAAGCTTGAGAAAATAAGGATGACAAAGGAAAAACTACAAGAGCATGAAGCAGAGATCAGGCAGAATGAGAACTTTGAGCTTCATGTCAAAGTGACAAAACACGAGAAAGAGGATATTTCTCAAACTGGGAGGTACATCACCAACTGTATGCAGTGTAATGTTACCTGTCACTACCCTTGCAACATAAAAGATGATGCAGATAAAAAAGGATGTGACGCAATGGGGCAGGATGGATACTGTACACAATGTCCAGGGCAATGTTTTTGGAGCGTGCATTCTAACCAGAAGTTCAAATGGATTTATTCAGAAATGATTGAAAAGAGAACACTGAATGAGCTGAAACAAAAATATGAGAAAGCCTGTGGGCAAAAGCTGACTCTGGAAGAGCTGATGAGAAACCTGATATCTGATTACGAATGTAAGCAGGATGATGTAGTTAAACTGATGTCAGAGGCGGCAAAGTGTCTGAACAGGCTGAAGGAAATAGCCCTGAACCCTAATCCCCTTACCACTCCAGAATACATCCACATGCTCATGAAAGGAGAGGAACAGGAGGCCAAACCAGGCTGGAAGGAAAGACTTCAGTCTCTGGAGAAAATGAAAGAAAAGGCAGAAATCATTGCTAAAGTAGAAAAGGGAGAGGGACTCTTAGCTCTGCAGTAATATACCTATGAATTTGGGTTATATTATTCCACATTTAATTATAATTTTATTGTATTTTTGGGGTGTTCTGTCTTGAACTTCTGGATATAATGGGTGAAAATTTTTCTGTTTAGTGGAGGCTGGAGCGCTCAGAATGCTTTTCTAGTTTTTTTCTTATATATCCTGTCACCACAGAACCGCTGTGGTGTAAAACTTCAACTCTTTGACTTTGTAAAGGGCAACTTAAGTTTGGATCCTAATAGTTTTTTTTGAAAAATAGATAGATAATAATTTGATTTTATATTTACCTGGTTTCTGGGTTGGCATGGAAATATATTTTTTCTTCTACTTGTGTTACTTTGTTGTACTTTAAACTTATACCAGTTTTTTTTTATGTCGAAACACTCGTCATGTTTTCACTAGATGGGAAAATGTATGGATTTAATCGAACTTTGATCTTTATTTTAGTCAAACATCTTCTCATAACTCAATTTTGTTAAATTTGTTTAGTAATTCCTTTTAAAAATAAAAAAAATGTTCTGTCATTGTGTGTTAGTGTTAGGCAAAGGGGAATTTCATTGAATTGTTTTTGTTTTGTTTTTTGGGGGTGGTTTTTGTTTTGCTGTGTATGTGACAATAAATTTCTTGACTCATGAATTAAAGGCGAAGCATTAGTTGTTACTTCTAACTGCATTCTGTTTTTTCTTTAAGTCATAAAATACAATTTTCTAAATATTTTCTGTGATTGCTCCTTTTATTATCTTAAAACTTCTTGAATGTTATTAAATTAGGTTACTTTTCAAGATGAAATTCTCTTTTTAATTTAATTGACTAAACTTTGCTCAGAGGTTACCTGTTTATTTGTGCAATTAAACATCTTGAAGAAATTTGTACTGCATTATGGGAACCTTAATGCACCATACTCTATCCAGAACGTTGCATAAAGGAGATCAACTGATCAGCAATCTGTAGTGTTAAGTTTCACCTCTGCTTCATTGTGAAGTGCGATAGCATGATTTATACAGGAAATGTTTTAGGATTCCCAAAGATGGAACAGCAGATTCACATCGAAGGATCTGGGAGGGTCATGATCTTCTTAATATTGGGAAACAATCACATCACCCACTATATAATATCATTAGACAAAATTTGAAATGATTATCTCTAAAAGACAAATCATAACGGTTTCAACTGCACAATCCTGCCCTAGCTTAGCACTAACCATTCAATCTACTTGCCAAGCTTTTTCATGTGTTTGGGGTGTCAGCTTCAAGCAGCTCAAGTTCTTCTTATTTGATGATGCAGCCTGTGTGAAAACAATTCAGTTTATTTATATAGCGCCATTTCACATACTCCGTGACTCAAAACCAATCCCTCCCCCTAAGCATCCATGTAGCGACAGTGAAGAGGAAAACTCCCTTTTAACAGGAAGAAACCTCCAGCAGAACCAGGCTCA